ATGTCTGGTCCCTGGTAGGTCAGAAGAGGGTACAAGATCCTCTAGAACTGGACATAAAGATGGTTGTGAGCTGCCATGTATGCTCTAGGAAGCAAAATTAGTGTTCTGTAAGAGCAGTAAACCCTCTCTTTTTCATAAGCATCCTCCAGTTCTCATTATTGTTATATCTTCATCAGCACCAGAGGATCTGGGTAACTTGCTCAGATATTACAAGGCAGAGAAGGGAGGACTATGATTTCCCTAAACTAGTTGAGAAAGGAGGAGGAGTATGACTCAAACATGGTCTCACTGACTGTCAGGGTTCAAGGTTTGGGCAGTGAATGAGGAGTCAGAATGAGAACTTACATCCTTGACCTGAGTATCAGGTAACACAGTCACACCTTCTCTTCTTTGAGCAGCTATTATTGCCCATTTAGTCTAGAAAAGGGAACAGGTAGGTCACCACTCCACCTCCTGTGGGTTTTTTCCTCCTGCTCTCTCCCCAGGGTCTCCCTGTAGTGCTCTTGTTGACAGCATCCAAGAATCAGCCCTACTGGGAACAGAAATGGCCTTTTCCCAGCTCTCCTGAGGAATCTCAGAGAAGAGGCAGGGTTATAATATCCTTAGAATCTGGTCCCACTGGGTAGAAGAAAAGATGTCTGAGCTTCTCTTTGTTAAGCAGATATAATGGGTTGATGTCTTCAGGAGTCAAGGCTGCTCTTCTTGCAGAGAAAATGAAGATTCAGTTGCTCAAACACTACAGCAGCTTGGAATTTTTCGGAGACTGAGCTGCCTAGATTCTCATCCCTCTGAACTGAGTTGCTTTATGACACTGAGAAGATAAAGAAATATTCACTTGGTAACACATTCCTTATCTTTACAAGTGGTAAGATACTGATATTTGACTGTGCATGGGGCTAAGGCATCTTTGGTACTAGAAATGAGAAGTAGACAAGCCGTCCATCTCCAGGTCTTCTGTGCATACATCTCAAACTCCTCAGACCTCTTCCTTCATTGCCTCCTCTTCTTCCCTCTTGTTTTCAACCTTATGTTTTTGTTTCCATCTATTTATTAACTTAATAAATATTCACAGGCAGTTTTTTGCTTCCAATCATGTTGACACATAAAGATATGGAGTCCTAAGTCAAATGATCCCAAGTAAACAGAAATCCATATACCTGAGAGCAGTGATGGCCAATGTCTTTGAAGAAGTCTTCCCAAACACAGTCACAGCTTCATACACTTTGTTGGAAAGAACCATAATTTTTTTTGTTTCATTTTGTTTATCCTGGTTAGTCCTCTGTAGCCTAGCTTGGCTTAATCTTGTTACATAGTCAAATATATCCTAGAATCCTTAAACCTAAACTCTCTAGATTCAGACATTTTAGGTTGTGGCTTTTTGTAGCCTGGAACTCCATCCTGGTGTCTTTATCTGTGAGTCCTAGGCTCATAGAATTGGGTCACCAACCTGCTGGCACATGGTAAGCAAAATCTTAGGTCACTGAGCTGGGAGAATGTAACAGACCATGGATCAATAAATGGTGTCCCCATGCCATATATATCATAGAACAAATATTCTTTACTTGACTCTTTCCACATTCAGTACATCCTAGGGCCTCCCACATTCAGATAGGAGGGGAAATCTTATCAGGAGAGCCATTCTTGGATAACCATCCAGCTCTGTCCTAGGAGGGCTCTGGCCCATTCTAAATCTCAATAAGCTCAGCTTGATGGGCAATGGACTTTGCCTTCCCTCCTCAGAGTCTATGAGCCAGGAGCAGAAAAGGTGACTGAGAGGCAAGCTCTGATGTCTCACCCTCTAAACTCACTTTCCCCATCCTGAATTTATAACCTGAAACACATTGCCTATTCCATGCCTTATGTTTTCACATATAACATACAGGTAAAATCACGTCCTACAATAAACTGTTGTGATGTTGAATTATAGATAGTGAGATATTGGCTGGAATACATTAAATTATCTAAAATAAATACTAGCTGATTTTATTATTAGATAGTTCAGGATATCATATATACAGCCTTACTCCATCAGAGATTATTTTTCCTTAGTGGTGTGGGGTTTCAGTTAACAAGAGAGAAATAAAGGGTTTGTCCAAGTGTTTGGGGGAGTCAAAATTGATATCAGAACCTCCCAGGTTTTTCAGATTGCAATCACCCAGTGAACAAGAAATGCAAGTTATACCTTATGTGTGTTAAAGTGAGAGGTCATAGCACAAAAGGGAAGGCTCCCTGGACTATCTGAGTCCTGATGTGACCACCATTGGGCAATACTGTGGGGATAGCAGATCACCTTCCATGATAAGAAGCTAGGAACTTTTTAGTGTATGAGAGCAGCAGAGTCATGCAGAATACTGGGAGGGCTTAAATGAGAGTATGTGTGTATAGAGAGGAGATGGAAGAGACGGTTGTGTGCTAAGGCTAGTCTGCATGGGGCAGGGTTTTAGTAATGACCATCCACCTCAAATGGCAGAGCATGAGAGATCATAACAGGCTTTCAGCAGGGGCCAGGAAAGAAGAGTGTAAAAACTTTGAAAAACCACTGCAGCAGTCACATGATGAGCAAGCTGAGGAAGACAAATTCCTAGCACTGAGAAAGGGAATTGGACATAAAGTTCTGCCCCTAAACTAGAACTTATTTGAGAAATAAACCAGTTTCCTTCAATAAACTGTCACTGTGCCCATCAGCTATAGTCTGTGATGGTTATATGCTCAGGAGTAGTTGGCCAACAGGAGACTGACTCCATGGCTTTGATTATGATTTGGTATTATTTTTCTTTGATTATCTTTCTTCAAGCTTTTTAAAAAAATTCTGTAGTTTTGTTTTGTTTTGTCTTGAAAGCCAAAGTGAGAGGAAAAAGAACATGAAGTTGGGTGGAGATGGTCTGGGGGAAGTTTGGGGAGGGTAAGGATATGATCAAAGTGTATTGTATGATAATACATTTTAAGTACTAAAGAAAAAGAAAAGACTGTATTTAGCAGGAAAATGTAAAGGCAAGGGACATATGGAGACTCTGATGGACAAATGCCAGGAGAGATGATGGGCTCCTGACCTGGGTGGAAAGGAAGGGCAGCTGTGAGATTATGAGCAGTAGACTAGTCAGGAGAGGGGATGGGAACAGGGAAAGAGAAGATTAAGGGTGTCTAGGAGTCTCTTTCATTTTTCTACTCCCATCAAAAGCAATTCCTGCCTTAACCACTGTCTTGCTGATTAGCATGAGTGGTACCAAAGTTCAGACTCTTTTGAGCAGTGTTAAGAAATTTCCTTTACATGTCTTTCCTTGAGCCTATGTTTGTAGGAACCTTTGTGTTTACATATTGCTTCAGAAATATACTTGATATTTTTGTTGCTAGCAATGCAGTGATACATACATTAACTCTGCTCAACTTTAGGGAACACAGCGAGGCACAAAGAAAAGGGATCATTTTAATTCACTCTCCCGCTGAATCCAGTTGCTCTTGTTAACACTAGATTCTGTTATTGTAGCCAGGCTGGCAGGTGTGTGGTGATGTGAGACTGAGAAGAGGAGGTGGGTGTTGGTCCTGTGCTAATCTTGGCAATCTCCAGATGTGTAATGGTTCTGAGAACCTCAGCCTCCTAGGGCTCACTGGACAGCTGCCTGTGAAATGCCCTTTAAATGTGGTTCACTTTTCTGTGGGAGCATCTGCTGCTATGTTTGTGCTTTTCCAATTCCTCATATAAGTATATTTGAGTCCTCTATTTGCTTATTCTAGTGTACCATTATTTTTCCCTTCAAGAAAAGTGGTATTTTAAAGAAATCTTATCTTTGCTTCTCCTAAAATGATAGAGAGATAGATTTATCAGGTTTGAATCTAAAAAGTTGGTTGCCTTAAATTTACCACTTAAAGCTATATTGCACCTGGAATTGATTGTTTATGTACATTGGAAGGTAAGTGTAAAAAAGAGAGAAATGACTTTCCTGTTTACAGATCCACTTGATCCATCAGTGTTCCCTGGGAGGATTACAGTGTCTGCAGTTCATTGTATGCATGAACGTCTGTCATCACTCATAGGAACATATTGTGAGGGATGTGTCTGACTGACATTTATTCTCTTTCCTTCATCTACGATAGGGGAGTTCAGCCAATCACATTCTGTTTGGGGGCATGTTGCCCTTAGGCTAAAGCTTGCCTATAAACCTGCAAGCGCGCTCCTGCTAGTTCTCTCTCGCCTGGCTCCTGAGTCCGGACAGATCGTTTGGATTCTGGTGTAAGCTGGTGTAAGTCTTACTTCTGTTTATTAAAGCTGTATATTTTGTATTAAGATAGTCTGGGGACTTTTCATTACCAATCGCCCTGCGGCTTCTTGTTTACACTCTTTTGCACTCCCCTCTCTCTCTGTGTGTCTAGTCAGAAACTACATGGGGTTCTTCTTCAGCTGCTCTCACCTAATTCCTTGAGACAGGGTCTTTCAGTTGAATGCAGTGCCCCTCATTTCATCTTGTGTAGCTAGCCTTCTAAATCTGCGGATGCCATAATTCTGCCATCCAGAGATGGAATGAGAATCTGAGGAATGCACACAACATATCAAGTGGGCTTTTTTCTGGTTCCAGGAGTTTTGTGAAACACTTTAGATATTCATCACACTCCTGAGACATTCCTTTCATCAGCCTCATTTGATAGATAAAGAGACTGAGACTTTGGTAGGTTCTGTAGCTTTGGAAGTTGCACAGAAACTGAACAGTGTGCTCAGACACCCCTCATCCCAGTTTTTCTTTTCTTAATTAAAAAGTATTGTTTTTTATTTTATGTGTATGGGTTTTGCCTACATACAGGCCTGTGACCATGTGTGCCTCCGGCCTGTTAAAGTGAGAGGAGGGAGTCACATTGCCCGGAGATGGAAGCACAGAAATCTGTGCGCAATCCATCCTTGAAATAGCAGCAAATGTTCTTAAATTTTAAGTCATCTCGCTAGACAGTTTCTCTCCTTTCTGCCTCTATAGGTGGCATGATTCTGGTGACAAATAGATGGATGTGATTCTCTTACAGGCATCACCATGTGGATGATTCCAGGACAGAACCAAACCAGAGTTTCTGAGTTTATCCTGCTTGGCTTCTCCAGTGACCCAACGACAAAGAGTGTTCTTTTCACTGTGTTCCTTCTTGTGTACCTGAGCTCAGTCCTAGGCAATGGGCTCATTATCATACTGGTCTGCTTGGACAAACAACTGCAGACTCCCATGTACTTCTTCCTCTGCATACTTGCCATGTTGGATATGGGCTATGTCAGTACCACCATGCCCCAGATGTTGGTGCATCTTCTTGCTCACTCTCACACTATTTCCTTTGCTGGCTGCTGGATACAGATGTATGCGTTTGGTGCCCTTGCTGCTACTGAGAGCATGTTGTTTGTTGTCATGGCTTATGACAGGTATGTGGCCATTTGTTACCCACTGCATTATACTGTCATCCTCAACTGGGGACTGTGCATACGGTTGGCAGCTGGTCCTTGTGTCTGTGGTTTTTTCTCTGCTTTGTTACATACTTTCGTCACCATGAGTCTGCCATATTGTGGGCCTAACAGGATTAACCACTACTTCTGTGAAGGTCCTTCAGTTCTTAGCCTGGCTTGTATAGATACCCACATCATTGACATAGTAGACCAGATCTTGATTGTTCTTATGTGTCTTATTCCAATTTCCCTCATTGTGGCCTCCTATGTTCATATTGCCAAGGCTATTCTCAAGATCAAATCCACCCAAGCCCGTTGCAAGGCTTTCTCTACCTGTGCCTCCCACCTGACTGTGGTCACATTCTTCTATGGTCCATCATCTTACATCTACATGAGACCTAACTCTAGTTACTCTCCTGAGAGAGACAAGCAGATCTCACTCTTTTACAATTCATTCACAGCCTTGCTCAATCCCTTGGTCTACAGTCTGAGGAACAAAGACATCAAGAGGGCATTTCTCAAGGTCATGAAGCATGGTAGGAGGTAATAGTAAACAAGTATCCAGGAGATGTTGGAATATATTTTTGCTTTTTGATAAAAGATATTTTTTTTGTATTTTATTTTTGTAATTTGGTATTTTATTTAACTATTCTGTGCATTTGACCAACATAATACTTGGTAACTGAGACAAACCACTGTGAAATCAATGTGACTGTCTTGATTGACAGCTACTACCAAAACTCCAGAAGCACATGGGCTTTCTCCACCATGGGTTGTGGACCTTCCCTGAACCTTCTCAGACTGTTGTCAAACTAGGTAGCTGCCTTGAAATCCAGTCAGATGTTTATTGTTCTATGTGGCATCAATAAACCTCATATCTTCATCAAAATCATTGGTAGATTTGGTAAGAGAGTTGTAAATTATTAAAGGGAGGAATTAATTAAAAGAAAAGTTTTTTTCTCACATTAAAAAATGGGGAAAACATTACAATGGAGAGATTTTTGTATCTGTATGATAACATGCTTAGACAGTTTAAATTGGAAGGATTAAATGATTGGATATCTAATTTAGAAGGGATTTATGTAATGTCAATTGTAAACAGCTTTGTCATTGCTGTCTTATCACTAAAAACATGATTACTCTGAGTACTAAGAAACAGGCCTTAAAATAGATCACAGAGATATTCATATCCAAACAGAGGAATTTAATGGAGAGTCAATTTCTGTGTAAGAATAGAGAGAAACAGAATAAGGTTTTTAGACAACTAAACTTAATATGTCCAGTAACCTTACAGGAATTGTCAAACTTGTTTATAGCTTAATGGACTCCTGTGCCAATGTTAGATTTAAAGAGATTCAGGAAAGCAATAGTCTCATATATCATGCATTCACCTTTTGTGAAGCAAATGCTAAACTCGTGGTCAGTTTGTTATAGAATTAAACCTGATGACTGGATAGAAATGGTTGAAGGTAGTTTACAATTGGTCCACTATTACAGTGAAATACCTCATTCAGAGAAGAGACTAAGATTATTGAACAACAGAGTAAAGGTAGAGGTATGGAAATCTCCCAAGAGCAATCTCTTTGAAAAAGAGACTATATCACAATAGAAGGGCAAACTGTATATGATGACCTCACCCCAAATGTATGCCAAGCAGCAGCTATGAATGCTTGGGACAAAATTGGAGAAATAGGAAAGAAAATTGAGTCATTTACTAAAGTAATATGGGGCCCAAAGGAAGTCTTTACAGATTTTTTTTTTTACAAATACTGCCTTCAGCAGTAAATAGAATTGTTGCAGGAGGTCACTTGTTTGTTCCCAGCTGATTGGCCCTGAAATAACCACACAGAAAGTGTATTAATTAAATCCCTGTTTGGCCTATTAGCTCTAGCTGCTTATTGGCTACCTCTTGCATCTTAATTTAACCCATGCGTATTAATCTGTGTATAACCACATGGCTGTGGCTTACTGGCAAGGTTTTAGCTGGCAGCTCATGTCTTTCCCCTCCGGTAACTACATGGCATCTCTCTGGCTCCACCTTCTAACTCCCAGCATTCAGCTTCATTTCCCCCACCTAGCTCTTTTCTATTCAATCACAGGCCAAGCAGATTCTTTATTAAATAAGCACTAAAATAAACATACATACAGAATGACCTCCCACACCATTTCTCCTTTTCTGTTTAAATAAGAAGGGTTTTAACTTTAATATAGTAAAATTAAATATAACAAAACAGATATCAAGCAAGAAGTAAAGTTATAACATTTATATCTACTTTATCTTTTATTATAACTAATAAAAACTATAATTATAACTATATATTCTTCAACTCCATCAAAGACTCCAGAAAGATATAATATTAACTAAGCTAACAGCAAGTACATTGTAAGCAACTTCTAAAACTCTAGAATTGATAGAGACATCTTGCTGCCTAGACAGTTACCAAAAGTTCTTCTGTATCATTGTGGGCACCCATTTAGCCTACTGGCCCATAGTATCTGTCAGACTTTTATATCAAGCAGGAAATTTCAAAGACAGTTCTGCTTATAATTGGTAGTTTGTTAGTCACTTTCTTCTATGTTCTTCAGAATGTCAGGCAGTCTCTTTCATGAAGCAGGAACACAGAAGGATCATCTCACTGTTAGGCAAATTGAGCAGTCATCTCTCCATGGATCCTCCATGTCTAGCTCACACAGTGTAACATTAAGCAGTCCAGGCAAGAGCAGTTTCTTGCCCAAATGGCCAACAAACTCCACAAGAAGCCTCTTTGATATCCATCATCCTCTTAAAGTAGATTGGTGCTGCCAGGAGCATGTGTGTCTCATGTCATGGAAAGTGCTAAGTTTTTAAAACATTTTAAATGCCACATTATGAAGGTCTCTGAAAGATTTGAGAATGCCTATCAAACTGAAATATATCTCTATATATCTAGAAAACCTAACTAACATGACTAAAAGCTTGACTATTATGGATGGTCATTTATTATTACCCTGTATTTCTTAATTATACATTATATTTTCAAACACCTTAATCAAAGCAGATATATAACAGAATTGACCCAAAATTTGTATTAATAAACCAAGATTCATACCAAGGAAATTATTCATCTCTGAAGAATATCCCTCCTTTAAATATAAACAAACATTTATAAATACTATGTGGGAATTTGGGCATAGTTCTCTTCAAACTGCTTCCTGCTTTTTGTTGGGTGAAGTATTTTTGGAAGTGTACATGACAACCTTTTGTGGGATCTTGGTTCATCAAACCACATTAGTCTAGAATTAATTCACAGGTACTCATCTTCTGTGGAAACAAAAGAAGACTCTCTTTTCCAAAGCAACATATTCCTAGACCCAAATTCTAAAGTCAAGATACCTTTATGTTGGTTTATCTAAGCAGTCCATACAATGAAATATCTCTCTGTACTTAGCTCCTTACTAGTTAAAAAGGTAAAAGAAAACACAATAATATACCGAATCCAGACTCTCTGTATATTCCATCTTTACATGGCTTGATTTTACTCTATTACTCTTAATGTTTATTTTATTATCTTTACTGCTTTAATATAAGACTTTCTGTACTCTGTCTCTTTAGAGATTTTGTTTCATCATTTTTTAAACGATTTGCTTCTTTTTGTAATTCTATATTGTCTTTTTTGTTCTCTCTCTCATGCCTATGTACATTTATCCAAAACTTTGACCCATTTAGAGGTCTTTTCCATATGTATTTATCTTCATTGGTTATCTGTAATCCTTTTCTGACCAGAACTACTTTTTAAATGTTAAGCTGGTATGGCTGGGGCCAACTTGACCCTGCCTACTAGTCTACCCAATCCAGCATGGTGAAGACATGTTCAATACCTCTGCAAGTTGTACACAACACCTCATTTCCAAGTATGCAGCAGGTCTATGTTGAGACATTAAGCAGTTTGTAACATGTTGTTCACACACCTTATTTAAATGCACTGTAACCAGACCTCAAAAAAAAAAAAAAGTCAGAGCTACTCGTGCTGGTGAACCAGCAAGCAGCTGGTTTAAAACCCACAGTTTTGGGGTGTTTTTTGTTTTGGTTTGCTACCACTGAATCAGGAAGATCTCTCTTGAAGGAGTCACATCTCTGCTTGCCACCAGCCAATATAGCAAGAATCTGCATTAAACTCTGTTTTTTTTGTGTGTGTGTCTAGAATTCCTTTCCAAGCTTTTTCAGGTTTTATGTGGATTTAGCTAGAACATATTGGCATACCAATCTATTGTAGGAGGTCACTTGTTTGTTCCTGACTGTTCGGCCCTGAAATAACCACACAGAAACTATATTAATTAAATCACTGCTTGGACTATTAGATCTAGCTTCGTATTGGCTAGCTCCTACATCTTAATTTACCCATTTCTATTAATCTTTATATCAACACATGGCTGTGGCTTACCAGCAAGGTTCCTGCTGGCAACTTGTATCTTTCCCCTCTGGCAACTACATGGTGTCTCTCCAACTCTACCTTCTTTCGCTCAACATTCAGTTTAGTTTCCCCACCTAGCTCTATTCTACCCTATCACAGACCAAGACAGATTCTTTATTAATTAACCAATAAAAGCAACCTATATACAGAAGTACTTCCCACACCATAGAATGATACCAAATTCAGAAGTGAGACAAATAATAATTCAATATCTGGCCTTTGAAAATATCAATTCTCAGTGCAAAAGGATAACTAGGCAGTTAAGGTAAGGTAAGCACCTTAGGAGAAATAGATTCAAGATATAATTAGTATTGAAACTCATGACCATCATGATGCATGTGTAGGAGAGATGATTTCCAGAGGTTTGAGAAAAATTGGAATGTCAAACAAATGTTATGATTGTGACAAGAAAGGTCACATTAAAAGGACTGTAGCCAGGGCATTCCTATAAGCAATGCTTTTCTAAGAATAATCCATTCAGAACACCCATTCTTTCTGGATTATGCAGCAGGTGTGGGAAAGGCAGGCATTGGACTAATGAATGTAGGTGAATGAGGAATATTTAAGGTAATCCTTTGTCATTGGAAAACTCTGTGAGGGGGGCTCTCACCTCTCCCCCATGCCAAATCCAGTTCAATCATTTCCTGTCATCATAGAGGAAACATCATCCCAAAGCAATTAAAGACTATAATGCCTATTGTAAGAACCATACTGCTCTGGATAATAGAATAGCTATAGAAGAGAGGACAAAAAACTTCAGGAGAAACCATAAAAATGAGTATCTTTGCAAACTTCTATAAATGAGCAAAGACCAAAACTAATAATATGAACAGATAACATTGTCAATGAAGGTCTGGTAGACATAGGTGCAGATGTAGGAATAACTTCTTCAGAATCTTGACCTCCAAATTGACCTCTTCAGGAGATAAATGTTCAGTTTTAGGGGTCAGAACTTTATCTCAGGTAAAGCAGTACATGAAATGGTTTGAATGCATAGGGACAGAAAAACAGTAAAACCATTTGTGGTTGACACAGCAATGAATTGGTGGGAACATGATTTGTTACAGCAATAGAATACTCAGATTAACAGTCTTCC